TTTCTACTGGTTAGTTCATGGTTGATCATATATTAATGTATTTTTGTGAATTATTATAATTATTAACAAGTTAGCAAGAGATATTTGCATTATTATATTCTATTCATTGCTGTCAATGGATGGATACAAACTCAATTAACCTTTTTAAAGGACATCTATTTTACCCCCTTGTCAAGAATAAATATAATTATTTTGTGTCTCCAGAATGTGTCTGTAAAGTTTAATCTCAAAACACCCACGAGATTATTTATTATACCTTTTTATATCTGGGAAATTTGAGTTGTTATAACAATGTAGCTGTATTTGTTGCCTGTGCCTTTAATGCAAATGAATTTATTCTCCCCGCCCACCATTTTTATAAGCGTGTCAAAGCTGAAGCCTTTTTGTAGATAAACAGCACAGTGATTAAGAAGACTGAAGCAGATCTCCCTTACTACAGTAAGAACTTTCCCAACGGTTATTTGTTATATTTGTGGAGTTAATTCAAGCCTTTCTGCAATGATGAGTCACACACAATGTCGTTATAAAGATTACTCGCATGTACTTGCACACGTTTAGCTGTTTTTACACACTGTTTTAATACACATTAATATCCACTGCAGTATGGACATCTGTTATTTTAATGTACAAAATAAACCTAATTTAAGTCTACAAACTGGGATTAAAGCGTCTTCTTTTTTAATTGTACTGACTGTATGCGGCTTTGTGATGACTTACAGCACTTTTACTGTATTTTTTACAAACATGCACTGTTTTAAAAATGTTTTAAACTTGTAAAACTCATTATTGATCTCCTTTGATGATGATTGATGATCACAGCAAGCTCAACAGATCTTTTAATCCTACATTCTCAGAAATAAAAGTACGCGAGCTGTCACTGGGGTGCTTTCTTTTCAAAGGGTACACATTTGTACCTTAAAGGTCCATATTAATATGTTTATTATTAAGACAAATAAAACTGTAAGGTTGTTGAACATTTGAAGTTCTAAAGCAGCTGTTTTCTTGAAAACGATGTGATAGTGTAATTAGAAACTGAATTGGAAATGACCTTATTTTAATATAGTCAGTCGTGAACTGAGGTGGGCCGGTCTAAGGTTTGAAACTCCAGGGCTAAAAAGGAGTCCTACTCTGGCCCTGATTATATCTAATGAATGTAAACAGGCTGCTGTTGTGCTTTAGTTGCCTAGTATGTAAAATATTCCCTATAATTCCGTAATATTTATATTTAATGGAGCGCAGAGTGGGTGCCATCGACTACAGCTCTCATCTGATTGGCTGAAAGGTACGAGTTGCCCTGCTTCTGGCAGGAGAGTCTCAAAAATACACACACACATATACATTCTTGTTTTGGTAGCAGAGTCCGGACACTAGTCATGTCTAGTCCTGTCCTGTTGTGCTCGCCTCGAGTTTCCTTGGGTCGAGCACTTGTTTCTGTCATTGTGTGTGTCTCCGTGTGTGCTCGCGCCTTCGTGGGTGTGCGCAGAGCTTGCGCGCTCTCGCTTAATGCGGCCGCACGGGCTCTGCATGCCTCTGACGCCCGCGCTCTTGTACTAGTGTTTGTGTTTGTTTTGTCAGCATCGCGCTGCTTCATTCTCGGTGCCTCCGTCTAGTTGGTTTCAGTTTTGGTTGGCGCTGAGATTAAGCATGCGCATTGCTTATGTGTGAGCGCACGGTAAGGTGTTTATCTATTGTGTGCTCGTGTCTTGCGTCTCTCGTCAAAGCACGTGGCTCGGTGTTTACACTGTGGTCACGTGCTTTTGTTGTATGCTTCAGTGTTGCTTGTGTTGTCATGAACACGCAGTTAATGAGTTCTTATTGGCTGCGTGTTCTAGTCTCGTTTTATGTGAGCGCATGGCTTGCAATGTCTCTGTGTAGCGCTCTTCCGTCTATTGTCTAGTCTCACCCTCCTTGTTAACTTATTATTAGTTTCTCATGTTCACCTGTTAGTGTCAATTTACTTCTGCTTTATAATCCCCTCATGTTTTCTGTCCTGTGCCAGTTCGTCATCATTATTTCCCTGTCCTGTGAGATCCAGTCCTGTTTGTCTTGCCAGCCCATCCAAGTTTGTCTGTTTGTTTTATAGTTATGTTTTTCCCCCTCGGGGTGGTTTTTGTTGTCCTTTTGTTTTTTTTAATTAATAAATACCATCTTTTGTTGCATTTGAGTCCTCGCACCTTTTCCCCTCACCGACCGTGACACATTCAGGATGAACTCACAAGTTTTAAACATTCAAAACTTTTTGTACACTCTTATACATTTGCAAATGGTGTTTTGCATTTGTGAAACGTATCTTATGAAAATGTGTATTTATTTTGTGGACGTGAATTTTTTTGTGTGAACATAAATAAATATTTTACGCACATGAATTTGATTTTATGCACGTGAATTTAACTACGCATGTGTACGTCGTGTCTTTTGCGTGAATTACTTTTGAGTCTTTTCTGACTCCATAGAATGTCACTACACAATAAGGATTAGTTCTGTTTGCATCTTATCACATTTGAATTGTTTGACACAGTATGTAAATGCAACGTTGAGTGTATAAAATGGCTTCAATAAAAAGAAAGATAAAAACGAACGTAAAAAAAAAAAGTTTGTGTAATTTCTCCAGCTCCAACGCAGCCATTCAGGTTTGGCAGCAAATGGTGTCAAAAAGGTTAATGTTGATTTAATAAGCAATTAATTTTAAGCTGGTACCTTGGAAATTGGCAAGAGTGCGGATGATGAAAAGATTAGAATCAGCTGTGGCGCCTGAAAAGCAGAGCATTGAGTTCTGGGTAAATTGCCTTTTTTGCTGTACAAAGCTAGGCTTGTTTGTTCACAGCTCAGAGAGGACTCGGTTGATGGTTAATTGGTGCGGTTCTCCTGGGCACAGGTTGATGATGTCATAATAGCACATGTACGCGAAGCTCCTGATGAAGGCTGATTGTTTTTTCGATGAGTGCGAGTGCAGATCGATAAGCTCAAGTCTCTCTTGGCCAGAAAACTGAAAGCGTCCCTCTCTTATAAAATAAAAGCCAGATGGCCATTGGATTAGTCCGGTGGAACCACTGAGTGGCACCAGGTGAGTGTGGCTCTTTAGAATGATTATTTCCTACATCTGACACGTTGGCTTTCATATGTGTAAGCAGGTGAAATGAGAGGAAAGTTTAGGCTTTCACTTTCAGAAAACAAGGTGACTTCAAAAGAAAACTCTCCTGTCACACACAACATAATGTATTTAGAAGAATTCTAAATATTTTTGTTCATACAAATAAATACTTTGGGACAATAGAAGACAATATTTAAAGACAATATTTCCCCCCACTGGCATAAAAAAAACAAACAAACAAATAAATAAATAAATAAATAAATAAATAAATAAATAAATACATAACTAAATAAATAAGATTATTATGAATATTGTTATTATTATTATTATTATTATTATTACTATTATTATTATTATTATTATCATTATTATTATTATTATTATTATTATTATTATTATTATTATTATTATTATTAATAGAAAGTATTAATAATAGAAAGTATTAATATTATGCATAATAATAATAATAATAATAATAATAATAATAATAATAATAATAAAATTAATAACAATAATAACATACAATAATAATAACAACAGTTGTTGTTGTTGTTGTTGTTGTTGTTGTTGTTGTTGTTTTTCTTCTTTTTCTTCTTCTTCTTCTTATTATTATTACTATTAATTTATTCATTTTCTTTTCGGCTTAGCCCTTTTATTCATCAGAAGTCGCCACAGCGGAATGAACTGCCAACGTATCCAGCATATGCTTTACGTAGTGGTGGCTTGTCCAGCTGCAACCCAGTACTAGGAAACATCCATACACACTCATTCACACACATACACTAAGGACAATTTAGGCGACAGCGCTACCCACTGCACCACCGCACCGCCCCTATATTGCTATCATTATTAATATTATTACTATTACTACAAAAATTCAAGACTTTAAGATTGCATTAAGAGCACCAGGGTTAAACATATAAGTCAGCACTCACTTTTGGGGATTTACACCTTCCTAACTTTAAATAATGTCAGTTATTGACTCTAGTAAGCTACAAACACAATTTAGGTATCATTGGAAAGAAGACACATAGGTACACAGATCAGTAGCTGTGCTTACTGAAACAGAAAATATTCCCTTTGCAGATCTGTTTTACACTCAAACAGCAACGTTACGTATTAAAGAAAGTTGGAAGTGTAAAAAGGTTGGCAGAACTTCTTTCATTTGCACCACTTACTACCTAGCTTAAAATAATAGCTTTAAAAATACCTAACTCTTCATAAAAGTGTTGTGTTAATCAAATAAGTTGTGTTCAAATGCATATGGAGAATACACCTTTACTCAAAAAAAAAAATGGTTTGCTTTTTGTTGAAACTGCTTATTTAAAATGAGCTGAAACAACACAATTCTTTTTTTGGGAGACAACTTAATTGTTCAATCCACTTACATTTGAAAAAACAAATAAAAAAAAACTTGATTCCTTCATGTTGTCCTAACACAAATTGATTGTGGGGAACCCAAAATTTTTTTACAGTGTTCGCACTCATATTCATATAGTCATTAGAGCAAATTTGAACATACTTAATCCTGTAAAAGCACTTAATATGATAACATGACAATGCACTAATCATCATACATCACCTCCAGTCATGCCCTTAAGGCACCTACTGAGTCCACTAAGTAGATCCATTCATCCTTTTAATAATTATTAATTCATTATTAATTCATGTCCACTATTAATTTATAATAACACAATGGAGTACGGTTAAAGACCCAACTCTTTAGACATCAATGACCTGCGCCTCAGTTGATCACTTTAACCATGCATTTGCTACAAGAACAACAGGATTACGCAACTGGCAGACAGACAAACCACAAGCTAATCAGCTATAGGTTCTATAGTCTCCATCGCTTCCTCTTTTCTAAATGCAGTGACCCAGACAGACCTGGCTGTATCAGATGACCCACCTCTGTCGTATCCACGCGGTTCCTCGACTCCTAACAGGTCAATCATGGCTGGTCACTCAATGGCAAGCGCAAGCATTGTAATCCATTACAATTGAAGACCTTTTTCTGCAAAAGTTTCTCTGAAGTGCATCAAAAGTTCAATGTGGAATTAATAATAATAAAAATAAAAAAAGTAGTCTGGTCTTGTTCGTTTCCGTTGGTGGAATCTAAACTCCTCATTCAGTTTTTTTTTTTTTCCCCTTTTCCTTTTCTTAATGCATTCGCAGCAGGAGCACATTAAGAAAGAATCAATTTGTCAGCCGGCAGAGGAAGGGAAGGGACGGGGGGTCAAGAGGGAGAGTATATGCGTGTGTGTTTACGTCGGGGGTATAGTGTATATCGTGGCTCTTTCCCTTCATATCGGATGTCCCAGCCTTAAAAGAGCTGGTGACGTGAGCTGGTGGCTTGTGTGCAAATTAAATGGAGAGACAGAAAAATGCATTATTGATGCCAGCGGAGGCTGAAGTGTCTCGCTTACAGAGTCGGCTCTGGTTCCCACACGGGGTAATTAATCCACAATCCTGAGCCAGCCATGAATGGACCGACCCATAGAAAAGACCATCTCTCCCTCCGATGCAGCGCTCCCTCCACCGGCTGCAGAAAATAGGTCACCTGCCTAGGGCGAGCCGGTGAGTGTGCGCACGTACGTGAGCACGCGTGTGCATGACGCACCGATGGGACTGCTTAAAAACAGAGCGCATTTGTCTGCCAAATTCTGCAGCGCAGGTTAATGCCGATGGTTGTTGCATGTTTATCTGGTTCCAAATGATGCTGTGTGACGATTTAAGGAGCTGTTGAAGCTGTCAGTGAGTCCGTCCTGTGCTCTTCTATAGAACTCCAAACTAGATATCAGTAGACTACAGCAGACAGAAAGGACTGCACTTATTGGTGACCCCCCTGTCCCACCTCCAAGACCTCTACACCTCAGAGTGAGGAAATGGGCTCAGAAAATCACTCTGGACTTCTCACACCCAGCCCATTTTCTCTTTGAACTGTTGCCCTCTGGGTGGCGCTAGAGAACACTGTGCACCAAAACAGCCAGACACAAGAAAAAAGGTTGTTGTTTTTTTCCCTCAGGGAATTTCCCACCTGAATTTCCTTTGGTTACCACATATTAATATTGTACTCTTTATTAGGGCTGAGAGATCTATCGTTATATCGTAATGTGTTTATCCGCAATAGTTACATCACAAAATTTGATTGTTTTTTGAAGATTAAAAGAAAAATATACAGGGTTCTTACACCTTTTCCATCTCCAAATTCCAGCACCTTTAATGTGCATGTTTCTGCTTTTCCAGCACATAACAACCACGATAAATTGCATTTATACAGTTGAAATCAGAATTATTAGCCTACTTTGAATTGGTTTCTTATTTTTTTAAATATTATTCAAATTTTGTTTAAAAGAGCAAGGAAATTTTCACAGTATGTCTGATACTATTTTTTCTTATTTGTATTATTTCTGCAAGAATAAAAGCAGTTTTAAATTTTTTAAACACCATTTTATGGACAACATTATTAGCCCCTTTAAGCTATATTTTTCTCAATAACCTACAGAACAAACCATCATTATACAATAACTTGCCTACCCAAACCTGCCTAGTTAACCTAATTAATCTAGTTAAGCCTTTAAATGTCACAATATTATTTACAGTCATCATGGCAAAGATAAAATAAATCAGTTATTAGAAATGAGTTAACAAAGCTATTATGTTTAGAAATGTGTTGAAAAAAATCTTATAAACAAGTGGTCTAACAATTTAGGGGGGCTAATAATTCTGACTTAAACTGTAAATGCTGTATGTACTTTTTCACAGTTGAATCTATTGTGCTATTTTTAAAAAACACAATATGACATTTCAACTTAAACTGTTGAATACTTGGATCATATATTTATTGAGATAGTTTACCCAAAACTGCTAAAAATACTAAATTAAATATATATATAAAAAAGTTTAGTTATTGAATTAATTATTTTTTTTTTTTAGTTGGGTCTCTTTCTACCTAAAGTTAATATCTCAAAAAATAAGCTTAGTCAGATTTTGTTTGGGTTTCAACTTTCATGACCAGTCATTCATGATATTTCATATGCATTGCTATTCAAAATTCATGTAACAAATTAAATCTTTATGAGTCTGAGAATTTTCTTACTGCAAATGAATGAACTCTTCCTATGTCAACTGTTTTGAAAATCAGTCACTAAATTTGGAAACCATAGTTTGTAAGCTTTTATCAATATTACTTATTATTATTATTATTATTTATTTACAGGCATTGCAGGCTTTGTTTACTGCAGCAAGTTGACATGTCAATTGTTTTAAACTGAGCACTGCGTTTGGCGTTTTTAGGTGCAAATATGCATTCTGTGTGAATGTCTCCTAAATCTGTGCAACCGGTAAATAAATTTCAAGCCCTGCAATTTCAAATTCAAGCACTTTGTACAAAATCCAAGCACTTTTCTTACCTTAAAAACATAGTAAAAATCAAGCTTTTTCCAGGATTTCCAGCACCTGTACAAACTCTAAATATATTAATATTATTATTATTTTTAAGGCTTGACAATAACTTTTTTTGATCACCAGCCACTATGGCTAGTAGTTTATCAACATTACTAGCCACTCACCATTTTCACTAGCCACAATTTTGTTGTTGGAAAAATATATTTTATATGCATAAATTTGACTTGGACTTATTCTTCTATTTATATCTGCATTTTGTTTGTACTTTGTGTACTTTGGAAGCTACTATCACTAACTCCATGTCCTAGCAACACATAAGGAACTTGTCTGTCTGCACCAAATGCAATGCATCATGACAGAAATATTTATATACTAGCCATTGTATTCAAAACCAAATGGTAAAGATTTTTAATCTAATTAATACATATCAAACATTTTTAACATTATCAATAGGCTACGGAGTTTCTGATGTTGTTGGTTTGCACCGAGTCACAGTTTTAACTTTCATTTCGGAACCATTTGCTTGTTATTTTATTTTCAAGATCTGAGGTGAAGTTTCTGCTGCAGTTTTCAGTAGTATGGCAATAAATGTCACACAAACTGTTATTAAAAATAAACGTTAGTAGCATATAACACTGAATAAAGCACATAATATGTACCTGAGGTGATTATTGTCATGGTAGCGTATGTTGTTGTTCTGCTGCGACGTCACAGAAATAGATAGTGTTTCTAATATAGAAATTTCGTGTCATCGTTGTAGAAGATTAAGACAAAAACTCCTTTAACATGGAAAATATACCTTTTATCACATCTTGCGGCACTCCATGTAGTGAAGACATGGCCTAAGACAAATTCCTTATGTGTGCAAGCAAACATGCCAATAAAGCTCTTTCTGATTCTGAACCCATTGGCAGATGGCATGGGTTAAATTCAGCACAGGTGCAGGACATGAAAGAGGAAAGCTGTTCTGAATTCTCGACAGATTCTGATGCTCATGTTGCTTCTTGTGTTACTAGCTCTCTCTCCTGTGATTTTTTTTTCATATGTGTGAATATATAAAAAGAGAGAAAACTCCAACTTTCTGTGAAAAGAAGAAAAAAGGAGGAAGTATGTTCTGCTATGATTTATTCATTCCCCCTCATGCTGTTCAAAATCTGCAGGTGTTTCTATCTTCAGTGGAACAGAGAAGTTTTAATCGTTTTTTCCCATACAACACACGTCTTTTGTGTTGCACAGATGAAAAAAAAAAATGTTACATGGTTTGTTTGGTGATGCAGCTGGCTCATAAATTAAACGTTTTTGCTTCCTTTATATAAAGAACAATCCTATAATTATAATAATACAGAGATACAATGCTTATGAACATGCATTCCTTCATTTTATACAGACAACATATATTTATCATGTGAGCCGAGTAGTATGTCTGAACTCATAGTATTTATAACCAATCTTCTGACATCACTCTTATGGCCAATTTCCCCAAGCAGCCCAAGACTGGTTACTCACTGAAGCTAAGCAGGGCTGAGCCTGGCCAGTACCTGGATGGGGGATCACATGAGAAAACTAGGTTACTGTTAGAACTGGGGTTAGTGGGGCCAGCAGGGGGTGCTTAACCTGCAGTCTGTGTGAGTACCCGAAAGAAACCCACACCAACACAGAGGGAACATGCAAACTCCACACAGAAAATGCCAACTGACCCAGCCGAGGCTCGAACCAGCAACCTTCTTGTTGTGAGGCGACAGCACTACCACTGCGCCACAGCGCCACCGTGCCACCCCCCATCTTGGTGTTTTTCCATCAACCGCTTTTTTTCCAACATTCTTCAGTATATAATATTTGTGTTTAATAGAGGAAACTCAAACTGGTTTCAAACAAATGGAGTATGGGTAAATTTATTTTGAATTTAATTTGTGTGAACAATCCCTACTTTTTTTTTATTTTCATTTCAATGGAAAGCTGATACATGATAAAAGCCATTGAGAGCCAATCAGAATCGGTCTGTTTTTAATGAGCTTAAACATTTAAAACATCAGATGACAAAACTCAGAATACTATTGCACATTGGTAAGAGTGCAGATATATTATTCTTGGTGTGAACAGGCTTTAACATCCCAAGCGGTCCTACAATGTCAAATGACGTTTAAAATTCGAGACATGTAAGGCAGTTCTGAATTCAGTACAGATTCTGCTCTTTTGACGATTCTTGGGTTTAAAGGTCTCTCTCTTGCAAATCATAATCCAATCTTTCAAATTGTTGTCGAACTTAATAGGCAATTTAAAAAAAAGCATGCAGTATTTCTCATACACTCACCACATTTCCCCCCTCACAAATAACCACAGAAAGTACAAAACAAAGATCCAACGGTCTGTAAAATGGTAGCCAATTGCTGCAGTACTGATAAAGCAATATTTTAAAGACTCTGAAGGAATTAAAAAAGAGGCCCAGAACTGGCCGGCGCTTCTACGGGTTTTTTCTTGGCAAACAGTTCTGAGTAAAGCAGCTTACAAGAAAGAGCATGCACTTTAACAATTATTTCAGTAACTAAAGATTCAAGGAAGATTCCACAAACAAAACAGCCCATTTATTGTTCGGCAGGCCCTTTTGCAAAGCTCTTTAGCCTGCTGCTCTCTGAAGATCTGAACAAGGTCACAGGCTTCAAGACAAAAACAAAGAGATGAGAGAGAAAAAAGACTTAAAGAATGAGTTGATCTTAAAAGAAACTTCTCTAGAATTAGGTTCTATAAATCATTCAGTTGAAACTTGCTACGGCTTAATGCAATTACTAAACTACAAAAGACTTAAAAATATATTTCATCTATGTACATTATACAACTTTATGAGCTTCAAAGTGAATAGGCGGGCCTGTCATATTTCAAAGTTGAAACTAGGAAGGGGCTTATGTTTGTCTTATAGTGCTTTAGTTTAGCTATACTTTAGCACAGCATGCAGTTCATAAAAAATTGATTTATATATTATTTTATTAATGGATCAAAAGCAAGACATCCTAATTTGGTTTATGTGTAAAATGGATTTTAAAAAGCAATTTTATTGCAATTTTATTTAACATTTGCTTACATATGGTTACATTTTAAAATGTGTCTTTTGTAAATAATGAATATGTATTTCTCTTGTTGTTGATAATGAACGAATAAATGAATGAATGAACATCAACAAATCAACGGACAAATGAACAAATGAATGAAGGAAGGAAGGAAGGAAGAAAGGAACGAAGAAAGAAAGGAACAAAGAAAGGAATGAAGAAAGGAAGGAAGGAAAGAATGAAGGAACAAAGCAAGGAAGGATCGGATGGTATAGACCAGGGGTTTTCAAAGTGTGAGGTGCACCTCCCCTGGAGGCGCGAGAAAAATATATAATAAAAATATAATTATTAAGTTTAATTATTATATGTATTTTTTATTATATTTAAACGTTTTAATTAAACAAAGCTAAAAAAAATAATACGTCAAAAACAAGAAAACCTTTTTTACCCAGAAGGCCATAGCTGTGAATTCTCTTCTGTTTGGCAAGTCTGTCGCGCGCGTTCTGATCAGCTGTGTTGTCGCGCGCACGCTCAAGAGTGGTGTTGTCGCGCGCCT